CCCCCCCCCCCCGTCCCCAAAAAATTGGCCTAGTTACTATTTTAGATTTTCGATAACTTTTTTTGTGTTTCCCTTTTTCATGGTATATTTGATAAAATATTGTTCATCACCACTTATTTTGGAGAACTTTAGATATAATTTTAAAATATGATTTAATTTATAATTTTTTTCTTACAAATTTGTATATAAAATCAATTTTAAAAAATATTTCACACATTATTCAAAAGAGAACAATATTTTGGGATGAAGGGAATACAACTTTTTTTGAATGCAGAAAATAAAAGTAATAATAAAAATGGCAGCCATTGCCTTGCACATGGCTTGCAAGGCATGGAAGATTTAATCAGGCACACAAGGCATGAATTATCACTTACTCCATATTTTGTTATTTAAATTTGCTACCTAAAAGGAATCAGAAAGAAATGTAAAGCCAGTTTGTGATTCTCAACTAAGGCCATAGAAGAATTTAGAATAAAATTAAATTCTACAGCATCAAAACACTAATGGAAAGCCAAACACATCTTATTTATCAATTTCTGTTGGATAAAGATAAAACTTTAATCTAAACATATGTAGAAAATTATAAACATTGATCATAGTCTCATGTCCATTGCATTTTAAGTGAAAAAACCTCCACACTAAATTGACTTCCATTGGCATTTATTCCCTTTTTTTTGGGATTTCAAACATAGATTCTTTTGACACTCATTGCCCATCTCATATAATAACACCAACTGATTTGAGGGCCCTACAGTGCTCCGCTCAATCACAAAGTTGTTCTTACCGCCTATAAACCCCATCCCCAGCCTATCCCCACCCCCATGTGGTTAGGGTCTGGGTTGGGGTAGGGGGCAGGCTGTGGGTTGTGGTTTATAGGTGGTAGGAATAATGTGCAGAAATCGATTGTGTTGTAATTTGACACTCAAACCAAGTGCCAAAAGTACTTGGTTGTAATAAAATATTCAGAAATTTGCTATGATCTATCGTAAGTTTGCTCAAATCTTAAATTATTAGACTAACTACAAAAACTCTTAAAGTGCTATTGCTAATGCAGCATGAATTATGACTTATTTTTTTAACAAAATCTGCTAACTAAAAGGAATCGAAGAGAAATGTAAAGCCAGTTTGTGATTCCCAACTAAGACTATAGAAGAATTTAACAAAAAATTAAATCCTACAGCATCAAAACATTAATGGAAAGCCAATATTTTCAGAGAGACCAAAGCAAACTCTGAATTATTTCTTAAAACAGTCAATCAGGATTATTATCATAAGATCGGCCACAACAATCAAACTAGAGTATATTTTATTCCTAGTGTCAGAAACAAGCATTTTCAAGTGGTTAAAATGCATTACGACAATGCAGGACTTGAATAGTTCGTAGAGTAAGATTGCAGTTGCAGGTACTGTATTGGTTACCGTATTCTGCCCCAGAGGAGCGCGGAGAGCTAGTTGATCAAAGGTCAAGCATTCACCGCCTGACTTCTCAATCCTAGCCCTTGCTGTCTTGGTAAACCTCAGAGCACAAACCTTCAGTGCCGGGACATCGTACACTCTTACGTCATCCGTGATAGTGCCGACTACAACAGCAACCTTGTCATCCTATAGGCACAATACGTGGTAAAAGAGAGAAATCAGATGAAAAGGAAGAGCAGAAAAAGGAATTTCAAACAACTCCAAATGGGGACACGAACACAAGATTACCTTTTCCTTCATAAAAGAAATAAGCCTAGAGAGCGAGAGAGGAGGCTTGTTGGTCTTGCTCATATACAGACGCTTCAGAATCACAGCATTGAACTTGCTTCCGGTTCTTCTCACCAGAAATTCGTAAAGCTGTACAAACAATCTATCGCTTTAGAATTACACTCAATTCTCCCCAAAATCAAGCTCGAAATGGATGTCATTGCACAATATTCATGGATGAAACATTATCTTTCCACATTTGGCAAAATCATATAGTTATTCGTTTCTTTTTTAGACGACATAGATTTTACCGGGATGCGAACATATACATTGCGAAATGCATAAAAATGAAGAGAAAAAAGGAAGTCGAATCCGACCTTGACGAGAAGTTTCAAGTAAACATCTTCGGACTTCGGAGCTGTGCGCTTGGTTTGCTTGCTTTTGCCCCCAGCTTTCAGATCGATACCCTGCAAAGAAATTGATGGAAGGAAGACATAGTAACAGATTCGTGCAGGAATTGAAGGAGAATGGAGCAGAGAAGACGGAAGAGGAGTACCATGGTCGAGCTTCAGCAGAGTAGTTGGAACGATCGGCCGTGAGATATCAGCGAATGAAATTGATGATGCTAGGTTTTTTGTGTGGTTTCGGGCTTTAACAATATAGCAGGCCGAAGCCCATCCGAAATGCCCAAAAGGTGTATGATAATAAAAATAGAGTAAATTCCCAAAATAACAAGGGAAAAGCACTAAGATAGCACTACTGTACATGTTTTAGTACGTATTCAGCACTCCTATTGAGAGAAGTGATTTCCGCTAATTAGTGTGATGTGCAATTCCGGTTTTGTCCTTGTACTTTAAAGAAGGAAACATTTTGATTTGAAAGTGGCAGTGCATTTTCCGATTCCAGAGGGCGGCTAGTCAGGCGATAGATTCGCGTTTATCGTCTGTTGCATGCTTTCGGATTTTGAGCTCGGTGAATCAGGCGGTTGCTTCGCACTTCCCAAAATTAAATTCTGGAATTATGAATCCTACAGAGTTTACAACACCGGAGAGATCTATTCCACAAAGGAGACGCAGTGCAAGGCTTGCAATGGCTACTGATCATGATGCATTGCGTGGTCCAGAACAACCAGACGATGATGCGCTGGATGAACTTCCTCTTAGTAAACGGATGGAGAAGGTTCAGGTACAATTTTCCCGTTGTTTATATGACGGTGTAATGTTAAAGTTTGGATTTTGGCATTATTCTTGGTTGTGTTTAAGCGTCTTTGTTGGGTGATTTCGGAATTTGTTTTTCTTTTGTTAATTGGTGGGTTGTTGTGCGCAAGTATGGTTTGTGTTATGTAATGCATTAAAATTCAGATTTTGGTAGATGGAAAGGTTTGTTGCTGTTTTTTGAGGTTTAACGTTTTGGGGTTTATCCTTTGGATGTACAGAGCTCTGTTCGTGTAATTAGAAGCTTATTTGCTAATGTTTGGAGATTAGTTCGGAAGTGTGTGTGTTTTGGATATTTTTTAAATTCTATTAGGATTATGCATGGCTGTATTTTAGGTGCTTTTGTTCGGTGATTTGGACTTTTGTTTTTCTTTTGTATTTTGGGTGATTTTTGGCAGCAAGATTGATATGTGTTGGGTAATGCCCAAAGTTTCAGATTGTGGTTGTTTAAGAGGTTTCTATATGTTTTTTTATTTTTATCGTTTTTGGGTATTTAGCATTTGGTAGTAAATGGAGTTGTTGTTGTTTGTTGTAGTGGATTTGGTATTGTTATGAGGTAACATTGTTCTGTTTCGTCTTGGGAATTGAGGTAACAACTGCATTGTATTTCTTCCTGTGATGTTAATTTTGTGGCATTTGGTTGTGTGTATGTGGTGACAATAGATTTTCCCTTACATCATGAATACAGTTTTTCCATATGATTTATAATAATGTGGGTTTGTTGGGTGGTCTTTTTATGGTATGGATTTGTGGTGGGTTACACACAATTGTTGTAGTGCAGTGTGCAGGTAGCGGGCATGGGGGTCGGTTGTTTTGGTGTGGAAGTGTGTGGGATTTGGATTTATGTGGTTTACGCAATAGGCAGTGTTTGGTTTTGTAATTTGTATCTGGCAATAAATGTGTGCAATGGCTAAAAATGCATCGTGGCATTATGCATTGCCATGGTCTTCTTTTTTCTGTATGGTCAACATGGTTATATGATTATCTAATATTCTGTTTTTTGGTTGTACGTGGGTATAGGAGTTTGGCTTTGGGTTAGAATGCGTAGTCTCATAGTGCATGGACAGATCTTGGTTTCAATTATTAGTTGTCTTGGTGTTTTCATTTCCTTGGTTTGTTAATTCGACTCGAGTTCTCAGGTTGTAACGGTTTGTTAAGCACCCGTAAGCTTAACGGAAGTAGTGTAGCTCAAGAGAATCTCTCGGGAGACTGGAATAGCCACACGTTGTGGTGAACCAGTATAAATCTTGGTGTGCTCCCTTTACGCTTTCTACGCTCTTTACCTTTCACGTTCTTAATTTTTTATTCCTGCGATTTCTACGATCAAATGCTATTCACCCCCCTCTAGCGTTGGTCACTTATTCTAACACATTTTTCAAAGAACCACAAACACTGGTAGATAAAGAAGATTCTTCTACTTATCCGGTTAGTTGAATATACACTAGCCATTGAACTTAAAAAAAAGACTACAAATTTCAGTATTGGGACAGAGATGGAAACATGGGGCAGAGGTGAAATAGAGACTGAACCTGAAACAAAATGTGAGTGTCTCGGTTGAGGCAGTGGGCGACGAATGCTTCCGGCGAATCTCTGCAGCTATTAATTTGGATGCTTCGCTTCAATCTGGACTTGGACTGTATAACATGAACCCTAGAGTGTGTCTGGCACTGAATCCGGTAAAGACGATGCCTACGGATCTCTGGTTTCGAAGGTCAGGGGATGACGATCATTGTTTTTTGTT